AAACTAAAAACCCCAGCACTTACCAGCACTTCAGCTGCCATCTGGCTCACTGGGGTCCCCCGTACAGCACAGGACAGAGGGACAGCCCCAGCAGCTCCAGCCCGGGCCCTCCTGCCCCGCCGCTGCCCAGGCAGACTCTGCCAGGAGGCCCCAGAGCACCCCTAAGCCCTGCTTCTAGGGTAAGTAGAGGCTCTTTTTCTTTTTTTTTTTTTTTTTCTTGTTTTCCCCTTTTTGTTTTTTTTAAAGTGATGGTGCCTGGGGTTGAGGGGGGCAGACATAGAGGCCTGGGGGCGCAAGTAGGGGATAGGTCTTGGCAGGGCAGCCATTGGGGGGGGTCTGGGAGAGCAGGGGGTAGGGCTGGATGGACCAGCCACTGGGGCATGGGGCCAGGTGGGGCAACAAAGGGGGGGCTGGGGTGGGGCATGTGGGCCTTGCAGAGGAAGTGGTAGCCCCTGAGGGGGGGCCATTTGGCCCCTATGGGGGGGAGTATAGCCCTTGTGCGGGGGCTGTAGCCCCTGTGGGAGGGCAGCAAAATATATATTCATGTTTCATGAATTCATGAAACATATTTAGAGTTCACTTTATTATTATGATAGAGACACAGGTAGGCTTCCACATTGCTTTAACACTGTAGATATATCAATAAAACACTGCCCAACTGATTGCTGTCTCTGTCTTACTCTCTCTTTATAGTGGTCTTTTCTTTCACTTGCGGAAGAACATGGAGTTGGGGGTATTTTACGGGGTGACTTTGGGATTTTTCTTATCAGGGATTTTTCAGTTTTCCGGTAGGGAACACCACAATTCCTGCTAGGGAGGTCAGTGGCAGGACCCTGCCTGCTCAGAGCTGGCACCTTGGACCCAGCTGGCTGTGGCCAAATGGGCCAAATGGGGCCAGGAGGACATCCTTTGACAGTTCAATGCAGGCCATGACACCCAGAACATCTTCCGATACCTGCACAGATAGCTGGGCAGGGGCACACGTGGCAGTAGTGCTGCACAGAAGCCAAGTCTGCAGCTATAGCTTACTAGCAGCTGGCCCAGAGGGGCAGATGCCTCTACTGGCTGTGCAGTCCCCATGCAGGTCTGGCAGGTGTGCAGCAGGTCACAGCCAGGCAGCAGCCCCCACTGCCAGACTGCTGCAGTGGGTAGAGGGTGCAGGGAACTCTCAGGGCTGCTTCAGCAGTTCAGCTGGCACAAGGGGTAGTGAACCCAGGCACCAATTGACCAGGCCCCAGAAGCTCCTGAGAGCTAGTAGCCCTGAGCTACTTGCCAGGGCAGCTTTTTGTACTGCTGGGGCCAGGACAGGTGCTGGCCCTGGGCTGTAGTTCCCCCTGACTGCAGATCCAGGAGGAGCCAGGCAGGGTTATTTTGTCCCAAGTGGTACAATTTGCTCCTCAACAAAGTGCATGTCCAAGCACATGCACTGAGGCAAAAAGCCCTGGTTCAAATTTGCACTACTTCTTTTTGAGCTGCTGCAAGCACATGTGCTTGCATGTGTGGACACGCCCAGAGAGGTCAGGCCTTGTTCCTTCAGGAGCTCTATAAATACTTTGCACTGGCTTCCTATACTTACAGTAGTAATGTAAAGACCTAAGCATGCATGTTCACTGGGATTTCCCCTTTGTGAGAAGCAAGCATAAAACCATGCACTGAGCTAGCTTGGCCTCAGGTAGCACCCCTCTCTCTCCACATAAAAGCCTCCTTTACCTGTTGTGTATTTTTGCAGGGCCCAGGTCCCTTACTTTTTTAAGTCACCACTGACAACCACTGGTAAGGATTATGAAGAGATATGGGCTCTGCCAACACCTTTATATAGCACTGTACATTTAGGATAGAAATGTTTCCCCACCTAAAGCAAAAGCAGAAGGAAAAGCCATAGATGGAAGGTACCAGAACCAAATCAGTCTTAAGCAAAGAGAAGCGATGGTTGTGGGAAACTAGTGGTAATCAGAACATTAATTCTCAAACTAGATCCATCATCTGAATTAAGTATTTTAAGAAACAATGGGGGAGATAAGAATACAATTCTTTAGGATCTTACACCTTAATTAAAAGACGTCAAAATTAAAAGTCTGGAGAAGCTTTTATGGCTGGGAACTGAGATCATCTACTCTCAAGTTGCTAAAATTGTTCGAAACTACATAATCATAGCTGATTCATATAGATGTCCACATAGTAGAAGCTTATTAGGAACACTTCCCTTACTTTCTGATTGAGAAAACTTTTATTTCCAGGTAGAGGTCTGACTACAGAGTTCCTTGCTTTCCTCTCCTCCCCCAGATAATTATTTGAATACCTTCCGATCCAAGAAGCCACCACTAAAATACAAACAGCGCAACCCGTAGCAAGCCTATCCCTAACAAGAATGCTGCATCATTCATAACATGCCAATATTCTAGGGAAGTCAGTCCACTCAAGTGCAGCTCAAGGTCTTGGTCCTCAACCTGTTTTAAGTTCTAAATAGGTCATCAAGATATCTGAGACCACCCTTCTCTAGGAATACTAATTTTCTCTTGGGAAATTTACCGTGACTGAACCAAAGAGCTTGCAACCCTCAGATTTTAGTGTCAGATGGCAGGTATTTCCTTAACAGCCAAGCTGGGATACAGCCCAACCAGGATGCTATTTGAATAAAGCAACTTAACTACATTTATTGTAAGGAAGTGCCATTAAGATTACAGGTAAAAGATGGGAGGCCTTTCCAGGCATCACAGTCACCCAGCGGTGAAACTGAAACCTCTTCAGGAAAGAAGCATGACCCTACTGAAGAATTAGTGTCGTCTGCTCACAAGATTCCACCAGCAAGTCAATGCCACCTTGACCAATGGTGCCTCAAAAGCTGTTGACAGAGCCTGTGTTAATCACCTGCTTGCATTTTACCTGTCACAAGGCAACTGCTATCACTGTGGGATACTCAGCTAGGAAACCAAACAAATGTTTTAAGAAAGTCTGTGGAATCCAAGAGCTGCTTTTGTTCCAGGAGTACTTTAATAACCTAGCCACCAAAGACACTTAGAAACAGGGGAGCAATCTGCAAGTTTAATACCTAACCATGGTCAGAAACATAGAAAAGGAGGGTTGGAAAGGACCTGAGGAGGTCATCTAGTCCAACCGCCTACTCAAAACAGGACCAGCCCCAGCTATATCATGCCAGCCAGGGCTTTGTCTACGTGGATCTTAAACACCCCTAAGGATAGAGATTCCACCTCCTCTGTGGGTAGCCCGTTCCAGTGCCTCACCAGCCTCCTAGTTGGTCAGTTTTCTCTAATCTCTCACTCATCATAGGTCCAGTCAGGTCCCAAGCTAAGGCAGATCTACCCTGCTTTAAGTGTGTATGGCTGCTTGCATTCTCCTGGGAGCTGCTAACAGCTGCCACCAGGTTTTGCCCCACACTTTCTCCATGAGTTCCAAGAGGGGACTCCAAAACTTCCCCAAATGCTAGCTACAACAGCAGAGGGGAAGATTTACCCACAAGCTTCAGGGGCAAACTGGGAGACAACAAGCTTTGTCACCACTTGTGGATGGGAGGCCCAATGTACATCTGGAGTGAGGACCTGGTTTGGGGGAAAGGGGGCAGGGGGCAATCATTGGTGCCCATCCTCCAGTTGAGAAGCACTATCCAGGCCCTGGCTGCAAGGAAGGGGTAGCAAGGGGGAGCCAGGGTTACTGTATTTCCAACCAGCATCTCAGCTCCTCCTTAGCATCACAGAAAACTAGGGCTAGAAGGGACCTCAGGTCTAGCCCAGTGTTTCTCAACCCGTGGCTCACAACCCCCAAAAAGAGTTGTGAACAAACTTAAAAAATGAATTCTCCATTAGAGAAAAACACGGGAAACCAAGGCTAGCAGAGCTCCAGCCTGCC